ATATGTTTTTTTTTTCTTTCATGCAACTGTTTCTAACATATTTATAAGATGATTTCTATGTTGCTTTGTATGTCCCTCCCCCATGGTATAACCCTTGCGTTCACTATATTTGATGTTGGCATAATTTGTGGAGAGGAAGGGCAAAGACTGTTTATTTTTAACAGAGCAAAAATAAGAAAAGTCATGGATTGCTTAGATTGCCATGCACTCTGATGATGAGCTTAAACTCATTCAGCATAAAGTAAACTTACTTGTATTCTCAAGAAATTATACCACTCGCTTGTAGGAGAATGAGGTTGTTTAACTTCCTAATTTACAATTCTTAAAATTAGAATTTGTAAACACTTAATACCCCTACTTTCTGATCCCTTTTTCAGCTGAGCTACTTCAGGCTATAAGCACTGAAAACTCCAATCCCAATCCAGCTGCTTTAGACGTGGGGAAGTACATCGGCTTGCACACACATCTGGATGTGGAAAGGTAAACAGGGTGCAATGTTGGCACTAATGCAGTTCCTGGTGACTGTCTTCCTGTATAGGGCTTGCTCTGCAAAGACTGAGTTCTACGATTTCTGAGATCTCACAGGTGCTTGTAGCAAAGCACCGAGGAAGCCATTTTTGCAATGTTCTTCCAAGGAGGAACAAATCATTGTACTGGAAGCTCCCAGAAAACATATTGTGCTTCTCTGGGATCCCAGGGTCAGTTTTGAATCAGTAATCAACAAAAGGAATCCAGCCCTTGCTGGAACAAAGATGGGCTCAGTTCTCCTTAGGAGAACTGAGAACTTGGCCATGAGAACTTGGCCACGTGGATGAAAAGGGGAAAACCAAAGGAGAGTGAGACCTTCTGGGGGGGGGGGGGGGGGGGGGAATGAAAGCATGCAGGCAACCAACAGTGTCTAGTTCCAGAAATGCAGCCTCCACTTTCTTTTCTTTTCTTTCTTTCTTTTATGTTTTTTTTTTTTTTTTTTTTTTTTTTTGGTGTTTTTGAGGCCAGCAGGCTCACTGCAATTCAGCTGGCAATTCAGTTTCATGGTGTATATGCTTTGACCTTTTGAGTGCCAGAATTAGAGACACATGCCCCCATACCTGGTTCAGTTTGTATTATCCTAAGGAATTTGAATGTATTCTCATGAAAATAACTAATGACTATGAGAATGTTTTCCATAGTATTATTTACAATAATAAAAGATTAGTTACAACATAAATGCCCAAGAGAATTGATTAAAGGGTAATGTAATTTTATGCTTCCATTAAAAAAATTAGAGTGCATTAAAAACTGAAAATATAGTCACAATACACCATTCAGTTAAAAACTACTTCAAAGAAATATGTTCAGTATGATTATATTATTGCTGGCTATAGTGGGGTTAAACTCAGGACCTCAGCTTGCTAGACAGCACTCTGCCATTTTTTTTTCCTTCTAGTTATTTTTCTTATAGGGTCTGATGCTTTTTGCCCAAAGTCAGACTTGCAGACATCCTCCTACTCAAGGCTTCCCCATAGCTAGGTTTCCAGGTACATGCTAGTGTTGTCAGCTTGTTTTTGGAGATGCAGGTCTCACTAATTTTTTGCTCAGGCTGTCCTAAAATTGGTCTCCTCCTGATCTCTGCCTCTGAATTAGTTGAGATTATACCTGTGCATCACTATATCTGGTCCCAATTCTATTTTTTATTGGAAAAAATGCTTTAGGCTTATTTTTATTGTTAGCTTATATTAATTGTCCAAAGGGATTTCATTGTGATATTTCCAACTTGCATAAAATGTACTTAGTGATCTAAGTCATCCTATCTGTATTACTCTCCCTTAACCACTCTCTTTTTAAATACTTTTTGCTGGGTTTCAGTATATTTTCATACATATATAATGCACTATGCTGTGTTTAGAAAAGGAACTAAACAACATAAACTGAAGCCTAACAATAGCAAAATATATTGAAGCAAGGGGAAGAAGACACACTTTGTTTCTTCCTTTTGATGATAGAATTTTCTGGGGGTTTTTTGAAAGCACATATTGTAAGAAAATGGATGTTATTTTATTGTCATGTAATGAAATTTGGAGGTTTTATTTTTGTGTTTATATATTTTTTCTTTCTTCTTTTTGATCCAGTACTTCTTAGCTATTGATGCTTGAGTTGTTCAAGGTCAATGTAATATAGCTAAGGTCAACTCAACATGTGGCAAGCTCTCCCGCTGAGCTGCTAGGTAAATTACCACAGCCAATCTAAGAAGGTAATGTGAAAACAAGACTCTTTAGGGGGTCCCAAGTCTGGGTCGTTCTGAAAACAAACTGGGTTATTTACAGATAATCTAGGCAGTTCACTCCATGAAATGAGATTTCTTCAAAGCCACTTATGAATTAACACTTAGCAATGGTTGCAGTCATTCACAATGGACTAGAAGTGGGTAAAAACCTTTATTAATATCCTTTTGTCAGATATCATTAACCCTATTTTGATAATAAAGAATCAGGAGGAAAGAGATGAGGTAATACTACATGGTTCACATACACGTAGAACTGGAACTCAAACTCAAGCCTACTTAATGCAAGAGCCATGAGTCTTACAATGGTTGCATGTATATAAGTGTGTGTATTTGTGTGTGTGTGTGTGTGTGTGTGTGTGTGTGTGTATGCTTATCCAAAACACTTCCTTTTTTAAAAACATAAGTTTTTATTGTGAAAATACTGTACAGAGGGGTTACAATCACATGAGCAAGGTAATGAGCATATTTCTTATCAAGCATTGTTGCCTCTTCCTTTGTTTTATCCCCTACCATCCCTTTCCTCCCATCTCTACAACTCCCCCCTCTCCCCCGTCCCCCCGCCCCCGCCTAAATTGTAAAGTTCATTTTTCAACATAGCTTCTTGTACATCTCATTGTTGCAATGGGTCCACCTGTATCCCTATTTCAACAATTTGTTTTTTCCCTTCCCCTCCCCAAATTATAGCATCAAATACAGTGAAACCAGGGGTTATACCACGGGGGAGGGACATACAAAGCAACAAAGAAATCGTACTGGGGACTGAACCCAAGGCTATGCACGTGCTGAGTAGACTGTCTACCACTTGAGCCACACCTCCAGCCTCAAACCTTTCATTTTAAAACTCTTACTCCTCTCAAAAAAAATACAACTTACCATGAACTCCCTCCAAAATCCAATATTTAATGGATATGTTTTGAAAAGCAAAAATGGATAAAATTGTAAAAATGGTATTGATTTCACTAATAAAATACATGTACTCAAATTGAAATATTGTTCAAGGAAAGTGTGCCTCAAAACATCAGATGTTTTGAGTCCAGACAGATATCTTCCCAAGTTGACTATTAATCTGAATGCACCTGAAATATAAGGTATGTCTTTCAACAGTGTGCACTATTTCCACATGAGTACAAAAATAATACATTAGAAAGAATTCTTTTCCTGGGAGAAATCACAGGCATATGAATTGGCCTTCCAATCAACTTTGTCCCTGCAGAAAAAAACAATTAAGAGAGAGCCTGTGGATATCCTTGAATCAAAGACTTAAGCTAAAAAATGAACAGTAGGCTGAAAATATGGAGGTAAGAAATATATTAGAATAAATTGGTCTTTGATATTCCTTTTATGATATGTTGAAATCAAGGAAATTCTGGCATTTTACCAGTCCACTATATTACAATATAGTTTAGGTAGTGTTTATAACATTCACCAGAGAGGAGAGAAAAATGGATCAAATACCTTTTATACATTCATCATTTATAACAATACTTCACTAAAGATCACTACAGATCACTCTGACAAACTGAAATGCTTATGCACTTGTATTTTCTCTGGAAAAAGCCAGTTAATATAAATACAATGAAAAAGATATTCTAGTCATTGGGCACTTTCTCACATAAAATAGAATTTCCATATATTATTATGAGATATATCCTACCACTGGAGTACAATTACAACAGATGAATAACAATACTTTTGCAAACTATTCTCATAAGTACTGTCACATTCATTCCTCCCCTTGGCGCAAAAATGGTTTGTTCAATGATTAGTATTAATGTATATTTTTAGCATCTAACCTCCCTTGGATCCCTTGGAGCTGACCCATTAAATTTTTTATTCCCAAGTTGGATATAAAATGTGGGATTTCTTGTCCTTGTTTCAGGCTTACAGATGTTATAATAATGCTTAGATCTCTTGCAAACCAAGTGAAATTCATGTGATATTTTACAAAGTATTCACATATCTCATAGAACTCTTTGGCTCTAGACATATCCTATGTGGTGCACAAAAACCTTATTCTTTATAGCACAGAATAGAAGCCAGAAGAGTCACACTCCTTGCATGATAGGTGAGTGGAAGATTTGGTGTCTCTTACAAAAGAACTGCTGGTAGCTTTGGACAATGTATTTCTTAACAAACAAGAGATTCCTCCTATAACAATACCATATTAAAAAAATTATTGTAAGGGTGATAATACAGAGGGGTTACAGTTACTAAGTCAGGTAATGAGTACATTTCTTTTTGAATAGTGTCTCCTCTTTGTTTTCCCCCAGTTTTTCCCTCTTGACCTTCCTCCCCATAAATTGTATAGTTCATTTTCAACATAGTGTCTCTATTTGACTTCACCTATTAAGCTAGAATCTCTGAGAACAATAGTGATGTTTCAATTATCTCTGTTCTTCTTTACATAGTGTAGGGGCTCAATACATTGTTAGAATATTCTGGGATAGCATTGGCTTGTGATCACAAGAAAACAAAAACAGGTTGCTATATACATTATTAAAATGCATAAAGACATCTAAAGAGGCCCACAATCTCTTTTTTATTTTTTTAGTTTATTGTAAAGATGCTGTACAGAGGGGTTACAGTTACATGAGTAAGGCAATGAGTACATTACTTGTTGATCACTGTTACCCTTCCCTTGTTGTCCCCCTAATCCCTTCCTTCCCCCACCTCCCATGTTCCTCCCACCCCAAAACCCCCAATCCCTGCCCGAAGTTGTAAGGTTCATTTTCCAATAAAAAGTATGGAACCCCGCACAAATTTGCATGTCATCTTTGCACAGGGGCCATGCTAATCTCTGTATTGTTCCAATTTTAGTATATGTGCTGCTGAAGAGAGCACCCCATCTCTTTTTTACCTGTAAAATCTAGACTTTTAGAGGGATGTCTATAAACAAACACTTGTAACCTTTCACACAGGGAACATTTATTTTGATGGTGTTTGTCTTCTTGATTCGTAGGCTGATCCCTGATCCTCCATCCAGTTAAAGACATCCCCCAACAAGGGGTAACCACTTGACAACTTGACAACTCTAACCCCCTCCACAATTTGGCACTTGCCCACCTCCCCAACCATATTCCTTGTTGGTCAGTTTTCAGCAATAACTTATACATTATCTCCTCTCTGAATGGTTTCCAGACTATTCTCTGATCTGAAAATCCCACCACTTCCTTTTTTTTAGGCTCTCACACTATCCACTGGATCATCTATGTACATGAAAGCCCCTGATAATACTGCATTTAATTATGTATATAACTCTTTGTGAAAAACAATCATGTTTAAATCATCATTGATTTCTCTTATAGTCTGGTGTATAGCGTCCAAGTTATTTCTCTACTAGCATTTAGTATATAGTATTTGACCAATAGTTGTTTGAAAAAATGAACAAAGAAAGAATGATGGAAAGTGAGAGAAAATGGAGTTAGAAAAAAAGATAAGAAACTTGCCGAAAGTCTCACAGATAAGAGGTAGGGCAAATTAGAAATCAGGTGGCCCTTTCTTTCTGAATCCCAAACTCATTCTTTCTGTGGTACGTAGCAAATCAGATAAAATTTCTTTTTGCTGCATTAAAAAATGCTCTAATATTATAGAATTAAAGGAATTTCAGACATCACAAAAATTCAACTCCCCCAAGAGGCCAACTTCTCTCACTCCCTCTCTCGCCTCAATGTGGCCTTATTAAGTCATAGTTAAGGATGCAACAACATGGTTTTATTAAGTCACAAGAAATGACACAAATTCAGTGACACTTCTTACCCCATAGGAGATAGGCGTAGGAATCCCATTCCACAAAGGGTCAGAGTGTACTGATTCACAAAATACTGGCACCTAGAGCTCCAAACAACGACAAGTTATATTTCTATCACTCTAAGCACTGCTTCTTTATTTCCATTCTCCAGTACTCTATGAAATCCTGAAATACTAGTAGCACTGATTCCTACCCAGAAACTCCTTTCCAGACTGTTGCCCAAAGGCCTCTGCAGATATTATTTGAAGATCTTCAAACACTGGCTTCGTGACAACTGAGGGGTTTGTTGTTATTGTTGTTGTTATTACTTTTTTTGTTTTTGTTTTGTTGTTGATGTTGGCCATGGGGCTTAAACTCAGAGCCTGGGCACTATTCCTGAACTTCTTCACTCAAGGCTAGCACTCTACCACACTGAGCCACAATTCCTCTTCTGGTTTTCTGGTGATTGATTGGAGATAACTACCTGCCCAGACTGGCTTTGAACTATGATTTTCAGACCTCAGCCTCCTGAGTATCTAGGATTACAGGTGTGAGTCACCAGCACCTGGCTGAGAGCTCAGGTTTGGAAGATATTAATTCTAGGGAGACTTGAAACCATGAAAGCCATGGAGGAGCATCTGGACTGATTTCATATCTTGGCTATGGTAAACATGGCTGTGGTGGTGGCTTTATTATACCCTTCTTTGTGTTCTATTGGATAAACGCTCAGGAGTGGAATTGTTGGGTCATAGGGTAGGTCTATGTTTAGTTTTTGAGGAACCTCCACACTGCTTTCAAAGTAATTGAATAGCTTACTTTCCCAACAGTATAAGAGTTCCTTTTGGCCACATCCATGCCAGCTCTTGTTATTATTACTATTCTTGATCATGGCCATTCTAACTGGGGTGAGGTGGAATCTCAGTGTTGTTTTTACTTGCACTTCCTTTATGGCCAGAAATGTTGAACATTTTTTCATGTGTCTATTGTCAGATTTACTTCTTCTTCTGAGAAATCTCTAAGTCATTGGCCCATGTATTAATTGGGTTGTGGTTTCTTTGAGGGTTTATTTTTTGAGAGTTCAATCCATTTGTAAGGAAAGGGAAAACCTGGAGAGTATTATGTTAAGTGCAGTAAGCCAGACACAAAGAAACATAGGTTGCATGGTTTCCCTCATTAGTAGGAACTAGAACATGCCTATAAATCCAGAAGTAAGCACATTGGGAGGCAAGGCACTCAAGCAGTTATAAATGAATTAACTTAACTATAATAGAATCTATGGATAACACAACTAGTATAACTCTTTAGAAAGACTAAGTCAAAGACTAACAAAATGAGTACCAGGAAATGAGTACTTGCAAGGGGCGGGGGGAAGAGGAGAGGGTAGATGAATGAACAGGGGAAATTAGCAAAATGTGGACAAGAATGCATTATATATGCCACAAAACTGAGAAAAAATAAGGAAAGGGGTTGGTTGATGGGGTCTGAAGTGTTGAAAGGATGACATAGATCAAGATGCATTGTGTACATAAATTGCTTTGCTAAATGGCAAAAAATTCAATACATAACCTAAAAATCAAGAAAAGTGAGGGAAGGGGTCGGGTAGGAGGGATGGGTAAAAATGTTAAAAAGGGTGACATTGATCAAGAGGCACTGTATTTATAAACTGTTCTGTTGAATAGCAACTCCTTTGTACAACTACTTAAATAAAATAAAAATCTCTTTTAAGAGAAACCAAGAAAGTTCATGGCATTTATATCTTTCTTTTCAGCAGTATTCAAAACATCCTTTTGTTGTTCTAGCACCCATAACAATCTATCTGTTCCTCTTTGTAAACCAACATTTAAGGGAAAAGTGTTTATCTTTTCAAAATCATCGACACTCAGATTCCAACAAATCCATAAATATGCAAGAAGACTAACAATGGTTGGAAGAAGATTCTATGTTCTCTCCCTCCCCCATCAATTGATACCCAGAGGAGAAGCTACCCAATCCTGATGTTTACAGAATGACATCCATCACACAGGTAATTACTCATCCATCTTAATGCTTCCTTTTAAGTTTGCCCTTAAGGAGCCTGTGATCTCCCAAGTCAAGGGCCTCAGTAAAATCAATAAAACCTCGTCCTATCAGGCCACCAGCCAGATCATTTTCCACCTTTTAACAAGGCAGTGGTTATTAAATGCCTTGTTTGAAAACCCAAGTGGGGTCATCAGACTTTCATGATGAGAATAATCCATCAATTGTACATGTGCTTTCTTTTCAGTGTCTTTGATATGAGTGGTAAAGTAGGTAATGGCCTACGGTTTTTCAATATCTGAACATGTTCTCCTTTTTCACATCGGAGTTGAAGCATAGCAAAGGGAATTTTGAGATGGGAGAAAGCTTATTAAGAGAGAATGGAATTTCACTGTCTTATTTCCATCAATGCATAGGATATGCTATTGGGCCCTACTTTGAAAGCTGAGCTCCAAGCTGTCAGGATCACTCTTCAGTCTTTAATTCAGCTAATCAATACAAAAAGATGCACCTCATAATAATATTTTATCCCATGCTGTTTTTTTCTGGCTAAGTACTCCCCCTGAATTTACAAGTGAAATTGGAGGTCTGGGATCATACAAATTAATAGTGGGGTACAGGGGACTCCTGTACCCTCCCTCAATGCTAAATAATCATTGTTTAAAATCACCAATAGATACAAATATGCTTGTGGGGGAGGTGGTTGTGTGTATGATAGAATAAATCCATCTTTGATTATCTTTCAGGCATCCAAATTGTTAAAGACTTGAACTCTGCTGCTGTCAGATATGTACATGAATGTTAAAAAAAAAAATCCATCACTTCAGAAATGGAAACTTCTCATCTTCTGAGTTCTGCTTGATTTTGTTGGGCATACATTACAAGGTTATGCACGTCTCACTTGAGACATAATTCTTTTTATTGTTTCACATTAATGAAATTAAAAGGAAACTATTTGAAAGCCCTCATTACAGCCTTCTCAATTTACAAAATTAATCAATGACTTAGAATTTCAATCCATGACAACTTCCAGTAAGCGAAGATGATCTGGCATTCAACCAATTCAAAATGTATATTAATCCAGCCCTCCTGCACTACAGCAGGGCAACTGTCACTAATACGGTGGTAGGAATCCTCAGAGTAGCACAATTCTTAAAATGTCTTCCAACTTATTTCAGGAAGATTAAATATGCTTGCATAATTTTAGTGTCAAGTACATTTCTGTAGTCTAATACTTTGAAATTAAAGAAACCTCAAATAGTTTTCATCACCACTCACCAGATTATTTAATTACCTCAAACACTTGATTTCCAGCATGTAAGAACATAACAGGGAGCAAGCTGTTATAATATTATTGGTACCTCAGAAATAAACTCTAGCACCCAGGCCAAAAGGACCAAGGCCACAAAGTCAACAAAGACACAAATGCGCCTGGGGTTTATTGCTTATTCTTACTCTCTTTCATTCTTACTAGAATTAATATAGACAGAAAATGAATTAGGAGAAGGAATTAAATAGATCAGCCTTACACAGCTTTTATTTCTGTTATTAAAATACTATATGAGTAACAATAGAAGGAAAAAGAGTAGCTAGTTGGTATTTGTAAACCATCACTAGCCTTTTATTTATGGTTTAGTTTACAAACCTGAGTGCAGTATCCTATCATCTCTGGGGGACATCTGTGGTGGAGAGCACCAGGTACATGTAGGCAGATGTACCCCATCAAAATACCTTCTCTCTTGTACTTGCTGTAAGACCCTAGAACAGTTAATTGCCTCTGCCTCAATTTCTACTTACATCATAAGGCTGCTCTAAGAGTAAGATCATAGTTAAGACAATCTGAAATATTTATGATATCAATTACCTTATTATGTGCATGCTGCTCTTAAGTATTTTCTTATTTATTCATGTATTTAGTTGTATTGGGACTTGAAGTCAGTTCCTAACATTTGCTAGGCAAGCACTTTATCTCTTAAGCTACATGTCCAATATTTTTGTTTTTCATGTGTTTTCCCCCAGATAAAGTCTCACATTTTTGCCCACACTAGACTTAGATTGTTATCCTCCTCTTCATCTTCTTACTACCTCAGATTAAAAG